AAAAAGCAAGACATGTCTTTAGCAAGACAATGTCTCTCTATTTTTCACTATTTTTGGTCAATTTTTATTGTTTTTTAATTGGAGAGACGCACCCACAAATCTCTAATGTGGGTGCTTTTACTAAACTTTTTAGTATTTTTTTTATGAAAGAAGTATCTAGCATTAAAAAAAAAGACAAATATTTGTAAGATGATGATATATATTGTTTGTCAACGTATAATGAAAATTTTATATGATGATAAGATATACAACTAATATTTTTTAGTATATGTCATCTTTCAAATACTCATACAATTTATTAAAATTCAATTTAGGATTGTGAGTTGTGACAAAAGAAAGAAAAAAAAAATCAGTTTAGGATATTAACAATAGATTTAAATTTTATGACTATTTATTATAATTGGTAATTAACAAAAAAAGAAAACTTTGTTGTAAAGATAATGTAATTAACAAAATTAATTACATGCAACTTTTTCATTAGATAGATTTTCATTCTTTATTTTATATATTAATCGCGCGTAAAATTTAAAAATTAGTTTTCGATTAGTAGTCCAATCTGGTAGTAACGAGTTTACGAGGGAAAAAAATCATGAAAATATAATTCATTACTATTTCTAATTTGAAAAAAAAAAATTGTATAGAAACTTAAAAAAAGAAGAAGATTATATAGGTAAGAAGAAAATTAAACAAATAAAATCTAAAATGTATTAAGCTGTCTCATTTTCTTGTGGCGAAAAGGCAGCGTGCGAAAACCGTCGTTTGCCACCACCGTTGAGCGCCACCGTCTCTCTCTCAATCCCTCATTCAAATGACGGCGCCGAGACCTCCCTCTCGGCGATTACGATCGCTGCGATACTCATCGGAGAAGATGGAAGGTACCGGAAGCTGGGACGTGCTTGAATGGACTAAATTCGATGTATTCCTCTTTTGCTCTTAACTTTGTCAATTCAAGCTTCTCTCTCTCGCGTTTCCCTTTTACCGAATTGAGCAAGGAACACGAGAACGAACATCGTTTTGTTCTCTATTGATTAATCGATTGACGCCTAAATGTTTTTTCATGTTGTTCTTCTGATTTGGGGATTCAGCCAGCTTCATGGTCAGGCTCGTTTTCGAACTTGGATTGCTTGCTGGAATCTGAGAGGGTCATCTTCGATGTATGTTATTCGATTTGGTTTCGAATTGGAATTTCAGTTTTATGTCCTCGTTATAGGTTTTGCTTTTGGATTCGAGAGTTGATGATAGGCATGCTTCACTTAGGCACCATGGAAATTAGCAAGGAATCCAATTCTTGTTTGTGGAATTTGTCCATCATATTGAGAGGCTTGTGTTTCGGCTTTTATTGAATTTGTTTTGGTTCTTGATGGCTTTGATTTCAGGGTTGTGGAGCTATCCTTATTAACACCGGTGAAGCGGGGACCCTGTTGCTAACAAATTTCCGTACTCTGTTCTTGGTATGACTTGTCTTCCTTCCGTTTTTTCTTTGTGTCAACTCATAGAAATGTTTACATGGTGCATTACCTAGTAAAATATAGCGGATGATTTCCTGCTTTCCTATCATTTTTTTTCTGGACAATGCTATTGATTTGAAGTGACTAAACTCTTCCTTGTTTCTCTTTGTGAAGAGTGAAGGAAGCAGAAAGGTTGTTCCACTTGGTACAATTCCACTGGTAACTATCGAGAAGTTTAACAAAATGGTCAGTTATTATACATTTGGAGACAGGATTTTGGGATTAGTTTTTTTAGTGAAATTAGGCCCTGGGTTTTAATGCTGTTATTTGTATGTAATTTCTGTGTCGTGGGTGTTGTATGTAGGTGCTGAAAGTTCAATCAAACAGACAAGACTCCAACAAGAATCCACCAAAACGTCTTTTACAGGTCACTGGTATGTTTCCGTTGCTAGGACTGACTTTGAGTAGTTTTTTTCAATCAGGTTCTTGCGCCATAGATCAAAATTTTATTTGATTATAGTTCTGTTTCTTTTTCCCCCTTTGTTTTTACCTGACAGTAATTATCTTGGCAGTAGACATCACCCCCACAATATTGTTGATTGAAGGGATTTTTGTTACCTTCTTATCTGTTACCTTCTGTATGTTAGTTTGAATCTATTTTATGTTAATCATGTGCATTTTGTAGGCAAAGACATGAGAATAATTGTCTATGGTTTTCGCCCTGGAACCAAGCAGGTGAAACTTATACTTTTTTTCCATCTTATGCTGCCTTCCGCATTTCTCCTTGAAACTTATATAATTCTGCTGGCAAACCCTTGCAGAGACGTGCTGTAGTTGATGCACTATTGAATTGTAGCAAGCCAGAGAGAGTATGGGATCTTTATGCTTTTACATGTGGGGTTTCCAAATTCGGTAACACAAACCCAAAGGAAAGATTGCTTAACGAATATTTTCGGCTCCTCGGAAAAAGTTCATTGCAAGCTTCAATGAATATGATTGATGACGGTTCATTCGCACTGTCCAATGACCTTTGGCGGATAACTGACTTGAACTCCAATTACAACTTGTGTGAGACCTATCCGTTTGCTTTGATGGTTCCAAAATCCATTAGGTAACTGATTTTTTGTACAGAAATGAAAAAGTTTAGTTTGATCTCTGCCACATTTTGAGAGCTTCTGTGTTCATGTCTGAGAATTGCACAAAAAGATACTCTTCAGTAACTTGGCATACTGCTCTTTATTTATTTATTTAAAATATCTTCCTGGGAAGTATAGACTTGACATTAAATTACCACATGTTTGTTGTCAGTGATGACGAACTGATCCAGGCATCTACTTTCCGGTCAAAATGTCGATTGCCCGTGATCTCGTGGTGTCATCCAGGTAGAAATGCAGTGATTCTGGTGCTTCTATTTTAACTTCATTGGTATAGCTTCCACATTTACATGCTGCTTTTCGATCTCAACTGCAGGAAGTGGAGCTGTGATTGCTCGCTCATCACAACCTCTAGTTGGTCTAATGATGAACATGAGGAGGTATATAGATGTTTCAACATGACCAGACTTGTGCATAATTGTTTAGTTTCTTATTTGGAATCTCAAATTGCTTGACCTGGTGGCTTCTGAAGTTTTGATATATTTTTTCGATTCTACAGTAACTTTGATGAGAAACTTGTTGCTTCATTCTGCACTCAGTTAGCTGGTCATAAGGGAGCACCACGGTAAGCTGCTGATGTTTTTTGTCATTTGGTTAAAGTTAAAATTTGGATTTACTGATCCTTTTTTTGTCAGTCTCTTAGTACCATGAAACTTCCATGTGCCTGCATTTCTCGCATGGTTTTGTGTTTACTGAAAAAGAGTGCTAGTAAAAAATCATAATCACATATGCATATAGCTTAGAGATAACCACTCATGTTGGCCCCATTGGACTTGGGATTATTTTCTGGAGTATTTAGAAAGGTCTGTTTGGGTAGAATAAAAATATATTCTTTTTTTTTCGTACATTCAATATGGTTGAATGTTGATACTTTGCTATTAAGAAAATGCTCTAACTCTCATATTTTGTTTTTTACGTCATAGGAAGCTTTATATCGCAGATGCAAGGCCTAGGAAAAATGCTTTTGCAAATGGAGCAAAGGGAGGAGGCTCAGAATCATCTTCAAATTATTTGCAATCTGAAGTCTGTACATGACCTAAGTGGTTTGAAGCTCCATATTTTGTCTTCTGGAACTGCTTGTTTTACTGACAGTGTTTCTCTTCAGATTGTTTTCTTTGGGATAGACAACATACATGCTATGCGAGAGAGCTTTTCCCGCCTGAGGGATTATTTAGATATGCACGGTACAACATCATCCGACGGGACGTCATCATTCTTGGTAAGTACTGAGTTCCAGGGACTCTTGTATTTGTAGTTGGCAGAGAAATTCATAAGCAGTTAAACTCCTTTTTTCCCTAAAAAAATCAACAACACTCTCCAAGTTGTCTAGAACATGACATTTAGGTGGTTTCAGCAGCTAAATGGGATATGGTTCTATTGTGTTAAGCTTAGAGCACGTGGACATGATCTTACATTAACTATTGAGTGAATTTATGGAGCCTTAGTTTCTTTTTCAGTTTTATGGAGATATTATTGGCTGATGAAGTCATCAATAGCGTCCAAAGACGTCTAATTTTTTGACGATACGTCGTGATCTACCATGCTTTTTTTTTTCCCGTTGCTAAAGGTGGAGATATCTGTTTGTGTGAAATCTGTAGAGACAGGGTGGCTGGACTTGGGGTGGAGGTAATCTCAGTAGTATGTCTGCTTCAGTATCCTTGCTTGGAGACAGTGGTTGGTTGAGCCATATCCAGGGCATCTTAGCTGGTGTGGCATGGATTGCTGCACGTGTTGCTATGGAGTCGGCATCAGTTCTCGTGCACTGCAGGTTAGCTATATGTGTGTTAAGACAAAAATACATCTATCGCAAGCAGACACTTCTATCTATCATGTGTTAAATCAGGCAGTTTACTATTAGCAGTAGAATTTTTGTTATATCCTGACTTGTGATGTCATTGTGCAGTGATGGATGGGACAGAACAACTCAGCTGGTTTCTCTTGCATGCTTATTGCTAGATCCATATTACAGAACATTTGCTGGGTTTCAGGTAATCCTCGTGCTAGCTGTGACTAAATTTACATAATTCCTTATTAGTTTCAAGTTTAGGATTTTAACTTGATATCAGCGGCGTTGCTATTAGAATACTTTGTGGTGTAGGCTACCATTTCAGATTTTCTTACCAGCTTTTTACACCAGCATAGTCAGCCTTTATCAGATTATTATTTGATTCACCATAGTCTTATTTAGTCCTTTCTACTGTTCTGACTTCACATCAGGCTCTTATCGAAAAAGATTGGTTAGCATTCGGTCACCCATTTTCGGACCGTGTGGGAATGCCTAATGTTGCTGGATCTGGTAATTTTGAATTACCAATTCAGTCTTCTTCTTCGAGAAGTTTCCCTTCATCTTCAGGATCAGCAGCTGCTCAATCTTCTATCTCTTCACATGGGCAGAACAATTATTCTCCTATATTTTTGCAGGTGAGCAGCTATTGCTTGCAATTACACATTCTTTTTTGGTGTGGCAGATCTACTAACAATAGTTGAGTGGAGCGAAAGATTATATTATATTCACGTTTATTGTATGTTTGCAGTGGGTTGATTGTGTTTCACAGCTAATGCGGATGTATCCTTCTGCTTTCGAGTTTTCTCCGGTATGTATAGACTGTTAACAGATGTATGACAGTTTAATGTTGAAACTCTCTATTAAAAGTATGTCTTCCCTTTCGATATTTTGTTTCAGACTTTCCTGGTAGATTTCACGGACTGCTTGCTTTCATGTCGTTTTGGGAACTTTTTGTGCAATAGGTAACCTCTTCGTTTGAAACTTTTTCGGTTGTTTAGTTTGTAAAGCCAGAAAGGTCATCATTTGTAGGGTTATTGTTTCTGGGTTTAATGTTGTAAAGTTGAAAGTCCCGTGGTCGAACAAGAAGTAACCCTGAGACCACTTGAGTATGTATATTGACGCTTTCTTGATAAATTTCAGTGAGAAGGAGAGGCAGCAGTGTGGGATATCTGAAGCCTATGGCTGCATGTGGGCCTACTTGACTGATTTGCGTTCATCTAGTGCAACTCCTCATGTCCATTGTAACCCATTTTATAATCCTTCAAGATATGATGGGCCATTATTACCTCCTGCAGCAGCTCTAGCTCCGACTCTCTGGCCCCAGTTCCATCTTCGGTGGGCTTGCCCTGTGGAACCAAACGCTGGAGAAATCGAGGATCAATGTAGAGCCATGACTGTTAAGTACTCAGAAATGAAGAAGGTGACTCATCCTTCTTAACTCGCTCTAGACTACAAAAACAACTCTTTGTTTTTGCTTGTTACAAACTTTATATCCGAATGTACATGCTATTATCATCAGCTAACTTGTTTGGGTCGTGATTTGCTTCGTGTCGGGTAAAAAAAAAATTGGAACAGGAGAAAGAAGTAGCAGAAAGGAAAGTAGAGGATATATCTTCTGCAATGGAGTCATTGAAGGAAGAGTTGCAGAACGAGAAAGAGATAAGCCGTGCAGCTAGAGAATCAGAAAAGAGAGCTATAAAAGAGCGTGCTGTCATATTGAGAGCGGTGCAATCACTCGGCTGCAAAGTTAACTTCACTAAGAACGGTGATTTCGCAGTTGAAGTAGAAGACGGGCCACAGAAATGTTCTCACTCACTTCCCCAGAAACCATCTGAGAATAACACAACAACAGATGTCTCAGAATCTCTCTCTTCACTGACTGACCAAAAAGTTTCTCAAGCATTGCATACAAGAGAAGGAACCTGTCGATGGCCTGATGCGGGTTGTGCTCAGATCGGGAGCCAATTTGTTGGTTTAAAAGCAAACTTTGAAGCGTTTGATAAACTCTCGATCTACGACAGCTATTTTACAGCTGAATGAGAATCTAAGTCTCACCAGATTGACCCTAAATCAAAAGGGCCTGTTTGTGTGTGTGTTTTTTTGACAGAGTAAGGCATAGCAACACCAATGAGGAGCAGAATCATCAATAAGAAACCCCTAAAAAGGCGGTGCAAAACCGCTAAACCATTTTGGAATATGGGGGCGTCTCGGGAACTAACTTCTTGTATAGCAATGCGACCTATGTATAGAGGTCAGACCTCTGGCTTCATTGAGAATGTTAGATTTCTGATTTTTCTTTAGGGGTTGGTTTGATATTGACCAAAGATTGAAACCTAAAGTACAATTTCTTAAGTAATTTGTTGTAACTAAGATGAATTATAGGATTAGTTTCCTGTTTCATGACCTCTTTAATTTGTGGATTTTGGATTATTTTCTTACAGTCCATACCTATTTTTTCAATCCGCCAAACAAAAAAAAAACAGCAAACCTCCTCACTGCATTATTGAAACTAAAGTTATCCATTGGATATGAAAAAACAAAAAAATGACTGAAAGATGGTTACGTGAAAAGAGATTGATGCATTAAGTAGTGTAATAATATGAGATGTATCACAATAACTTGGGACAACATCGCATAAAAAAATGCCAAGAGTGTTGGTTCTATTATACGTTGTATATATACTCTTTAATTATGTAGTTGGCTTTGGACCACTTTCTCTCAGTTTTAGCCGTTGATCGTTTTCTTTCGTGTTCGGCTGCTATGGACTCTTGTTGTGTTCCTCAAGCTTTATCCGATCGAAATGTCAAGTCGATTTCGGAAAATTTTGCCAACAAACACATGACAAAATTATTGGTGTTTTGTCAATTACAAATCTATGTTGTTTTCATCTTCAACTGGTATATATCCGTTGTAATCCGTCATCGACTTTGTTGAGTCTAATGTAACAATGCGCAATTGGATTGGTTGAAGATCAAATCAATTTAAATCTGGTTGGTTGATCGGGTTTCATTGTTAAAGTTAAAGGAAACCAAATGTGTGAATCTTTTTTTTGCTTCTTTCTCTACTTCTTCGATTAGAGAAAAATATGATGATCTAGTGATTTGATAAAAGTTTTTTTTTTGTTTGTTGGCAATTTGGAATGCAAGAACCACAACAGAATTTATTATTGCATTTTTTTATGTACGTTGTTGCAACTTGCAAATTTCAATAGAAAAAATGACATTCACGTAGAAGAAACTTAGTTCGGTGACTTTCACAAAATTTTGTCACGGTATTATAATAAACTGATGAGAAAATCTGTGATAAATTCGTTACAACCTAAATTTGAAGAGAAACCGTAGTAATACGTCACCGAACTCGAGTTGTAGACAAATCTAGAAAGAGTCATGAGATATTTTTACTCGTTAGTTAGTGAGTATCATCACAACCAATCGAAATAAATTGGTGGATATACCTAATTTTGATGAATTGGATACAAGGTAGGGTATAGTGTATATATTACTATAAAGTATCAAATTTTGAGAATAACTTAAACTACGTAACGGTTGAAATATGGAGAAACATGTAATAATTACAGACCAACAAAAAAAAAAAAGACAAGATAATGTAAAAATAAACAAAGCATGTGGGATGGATCGATCTGATAATGGACATACAATGTCGCATGGGGACTCGATGACAATTGGATTGCTGTTACTACACCTACTTGCTTTTATCCATTATTAACCACAGAGACATTTACGTATGGAGTTTTTAATGTTACAACCAGTTGATATGCTTTGAATCTCTGTCCCCATTTTTTTTATATATATATGAACCGCAATTTTAGTTTGGGGTTTACGGACTTAATCAATTTATAGTTACATTAGAGTTGTTTATTTATATTTTTCTCGTCATTTTGCATTTTGAAACATTATCTTTCTTTTTGTCCATGGACGTAGCTAATATATATACATCATTTTGTGAATTATGTAAATTTATTTGTGTTTTTTTTTTCCTCACATGCGACAATTATTCTTTTAAAACTCTATTAATTAATTAAGTGTATGGAATTTCAAATTCGAACCAACGTAGTCATGATAGGTTTCAAGTCATCAAACGTACTATAGAAGTCGATTATTCAAAAAGAGAATAGTCCTCACAGATATAACCCGACAGTGTCATTGAAAACAATGAATGGACAACACAAAAATGATAAATCGACAATATAAGTAATTTAAACAATGTTTTTTTTTGTTTGCTAAACGTAATTTAAACAAGGGTGAATTTGTTAACTAACCAAAAAAAAATTATAATTAAGTTCTAATCAAAAGTGGCATATATGGCCAAATTTATAACCACGGGATCTAATGGAATTGGTTAGATGGTTAATTATAAAACTTTTGTAGTTATTCAACATAATTTCCCTTTAAACAATGTTGAAACTTTAAATTCTGCTGAAAATATGTATGGTTAATATTAATATTTAAATAAACTGATCATACAAAAAAAAATTGTTGTTAAAGATATAAAAATATTAGGTCCATGGATATTTTTTTTTTTTTGTACAAAACAAAATATATATTGTTCAAAATCCTTTAAAATCAAATATATTTTGTGAATTCTCCAACACTGTATTGAATCTAGTCTATTTAACAAAATCTCATTTTCTGATTAATGTAGAGTCTGCTAAAAATTTAATTTTAGTGACCATAGTAAACAAAAAGTAGGTGGTAGAGAAGTTAGAGTTTTATGACAAAGTAATTTAAATCAAAAGCTGACCACATCACTTGACTCTATAAAGTCCGTACATTGCCTGCAACTTTGACACAACTCGAAACACACAATTCACTTATT